GGGTAAAAAAGTGGTTTCTCAGACATGTTACTATGATTTCCATTTCAAACCAGGGTTGAATTACCTCCTTTCAACTTGCTTTTCCCCCCCCTCAAAAGTAACTTGAAATTGTTTGTTTAAGGATTGGAAATCTCTCCCAGCCCACTCACCAGCTGAAATTAAGTGTAAAGGCTCTTCAACAAGACTCAGCTGGCCTGCAAACCTGTCTGAGAATTTGTGAACTACATTTATGATGTTTCCTTCCTTTAGTTGAAAAAATGTTAGTATGTGTATACCCTGCCTCATTTCTCTAAAGAAATGGGATATTGCTACCTTCAAAATGTGTTCCCTACATAGTACTGTACACAGTAATAGGAAAATACATCTAAATTTAAGAAATAAGAAGCATGAAGAAAGCAGTAAAAAATGTGCATACCCAAACTCTGAATCTACTGACAAGAAGATTGCTATTGTCAATCTACTGAAATAATTTGAAATGAAGGGATCTATCCTGACCACACATTCCTATTTATAGGAGCACAAACTCCTATTTATAACAAAGAGACTTAGTTGCACAGACTCCAGAAACTGGGTTCCTTCAGGCCAAATGCAATCTTGACTTAAGGAATCTCCACTTCTCTCCTTGTGTTGTTGCTGCTGCTGCAGTCTCTGAGAGTCCTTATCAAATCAGTACCACTTAGCAAATACCAGAGTATATATTCTACACTTACACAGTTGAATTTTCCAAGAAGCCCTTTGTGGCTATTACAACATGATTAATGTAGGGATCTGATATCCCTAGGTCTAACCTCTCATCTCCATGCAGGACTAATGCTTTTTCATGCTATTTGAGTGCCTGAGGACCTCTTGCCAGGGACTGAGAAAGGGAAGTATATCTGCTGTAGCACCTTGCTAGAAAGCAACCTGCTAAGGTGGATTGCACAACAGTTTACAGAGGAAAGGCAGCACTCAGAAAGACTCTCCTTGCTATCTCAGAAGGTTTCAGTCCATCCCAGGAACAATACTCTCTCCAGCTGCAGATATTAGGCAGCTCCTTTCTCTTCTCAACAGTTCTCAACAACAGTTACTGTTCTCAGCAAGATAAGCTGGCTATAGATTCCCAAATGTAGGAAAAAATAAAAACTGTAAATGCCCTTGCAAGACCACCTGTAATGTTTCACTGCGTTTGGCCTAGAAGAAAAAAAATGTGTGAAGTTTTTATGGCAATGGTTTAGCTACTCTGAATACAAGAAAAATCTACTAGCTAACGTCCTGCAAAAACATGTGGGTTGTATAAAATTACACTTACTCTAATATCTAGAGATTGTCTAAGCAAAGTGGTTCATATGTTAAGGGATTAGAAAACTGTTCTAAGTGCACTCAAAATTTATGATCTCATTCCCAGACCTATTGGTCAGACTTGTCAATCAACTCCCATAATCCACTGTTTCAGTTAAAGAAGAGGTGAAGGGAAAAGGAAAATTATGAAGACGCAGAGAAGATGACTATATCTGTAGTGGGTTTCTGTGGCTGGGTTTTGGTAGAATGGGGGCTACAGGGGTGGCTTCTGTTAGAAACTACTAGAAGCTTCCCCTGTCCCATGGAGCCAATGCCAGCCGGCTCCCGGATAGACTTCCTGCCACTGGCCAAGGCCAAGCCAATTAGAAGTAATAGTAACACCTCTGTCATAACATGTTTAAGAACAAAAGATTGTTGCGCAGAAGAAAATTCCAGCCAGGGAAGAGCAGAGTGAGAACATGGGAATAACAACATAGACACCAAGGTCAGAGCAGAAGGAGGGGCAGAAGGTGCTCCAGGCACCGGAGCTGTGGCCCCTGCAGCCTGTGGTACAGACCATGGTGGAGCAGCTGTGCCCCTGCAGCCCATGGAGGACCACGGGAGTGCAGAGACCCACCTGCAGCCCATGGAGGAGCCCATGCTGGAGCAGGTGGATGCATGAAAGAAGCTGTGACCCTGTGGGAGGCGCAGGATGGAGTGGGGTCCTGCTGGGGACCTGCAGCCCGTGGAGAGGGAAGCCCACATTGGAGCAGGTTTTTTCCAGGTAGGACTTGTGGCCCCTGTGGGGGACTCAGGTCATTACAGCTCATTCATGAAGGACTGCACCCCATGGAGGAGTGACCCATGAGACGAGGGATGGACTCATGTTGGAGACGTCCATCAAGGACTGATTCCCATGGGAGGAACCCCACAGGAGCAGGGGAAGGACTCCTCTCCCTGAGCAGTGGCAGAAACAGAGAGAGAAACAGAGCAGCAGAGGGAGAGTGAGCAAGCGGCTTTAGTGGGTACCTGGCATCTGGCCAGGGTCAACCCACTACAGTATTGTTCACCTGTTTAAGGAGAGAGCAAAGCTAATTCACTGTTGACATTCATCAGCTGAAAAATATTTCATTGTCCAGATGAGACAAGCATTCACACATTTAATTTTAAGCATGTGCTTAACACTCATTGCCTTTTAAACTAAGAAAAAATATTAACTTGGAACTTAGTGCACTGCACATGCTGTTGTTTAACAGACCAAGCTCTCTGATTAAAAGGCAACCAAGACAGTAAGGCTTTTGTAAAGTCTTTTAACTACGCAACTTCTAAAAAGGGGATGACTTGCATCACACAGTCAAGTTGAATTCATCTATTTTTCAAATCAACATGAATCTGTATGAGTAAAGCCAGGAGTGCCAGCAGCTGGCTCATAGTACAGCCCAACTCTCAAAATGACTACTCTGGTCTTCCTTCAACAATATCTTCTGTGTCACGCTGCACCGAGAATCTGTTTTTTCATAGAAATTGGAAGAATGGACCTTTTGGTAGAAAAATATTAACATGGGAGTCCTAGACTGCATTATACTTTCTAACTTTAGATAAACAATCTTTCTGTTTACCTTTATTTCTACCACTATTTCCAAGCTAAAAGAATTTTTTTATTTATTGATTAAAAGAGATAGCAACATTCAACTTTCATCTGCTTAGTATTATGGGAAAATAATACATTTTCTGCACATAAGGAAGTGCTTTCTAGTCAATATGAACAAACAGTTGAGAAATCAAACTAAAAAACGTAACAGCAATTCATTTTATTCTGTATGGTTTTTGTCCTGGTACCTAGGTCATCTAATAATTTTTTTTTCCTTTAAGGTCAAAAATAAAATAGTCCAGCTACACTAAGAACACACTAATATCTTTAATATAGTGGTAATAATTTAAAAATGTCTTCAAAGCTTTAGATGCTGTGAATGTTGAAGTAAATCAAATAAATATAAACCCATAAATTGAAAATGTTAGGAGCTGTTTTTAAAGCACAATTTGAAGTTAATAATCAACATTTAAAGATGTGTTTGCATCTTCCCATAATGTGCAATTGTGTATTTCTGTTCTTCCCCCTGAAACATGACTGCAGGTAAGTCTTTGTGGTCTCCTAAAAATAGACATGCAACAGCCTTGCTATACAGCTTAAAAAATTCCATCTTCCCAAAATGACACGTTAATTGCACATTTGACACATTCCCTCTATATCCACTTTTTGTGCTCACCTGAGTAAAGACTTCTGGCTGGAGTTTGTGTGATTCCCATTAAAAATAAAGCTCTTGAATCAACAGGTCTGTTCTATTCAATGTGATTTTCATCTTCACCCTATCCAGTCTTCTTACATCTTCCTGCACACCCAAAGAAAATCATACTACACTGGCTTTTCACTCAGACTTTGGCCACAAAAATTACTTGAACTATGTACATCAACAGCATCTGAGTTGGTAAGCACTGTCTACCATTCATGTTGCAATTGAATACAGCTATAAAATATGAAGGAAAAAATCTGAGGTCTTAATGCACATTTGTTTCATATCATTTTCTTATATATTTTTGTATGATATATATGTTGCTAATTTTAAATATTTTTTATTTTGTTCTTCCATATTAGTCATAATACCCCGAATAGTTTAAAAATAAATTCCTATCACTATCAGTGAAGTGAAATAACTGATTATTATATAATTTCTTATAATCACTATCAAAACACAAGTCTAATACTACGTATTATGCTACTAGAAAGACTTTTTTTTTAATAAAAGAAGAATTAAAACTAAATCATTTGAAACATCTTAGCACTTTTATTCCTAGGGCTCCTGATGAGGGAGGCAGAAGACAGGATTGCCTAATACGACCCTTATACACTATCATCTATTGCTGCTTAAACCTGTTGAAAATATATATCATGCATTTTCCTTTTGGCATCCCCTGCCAGTGCTTTTAAAGTTCACTAGGAATGTTAGTGCTTGTGAGAACAACAGATGGATAATACTGTTTACAGTCAGGGAGGGATACTATTTAAACTTCATCACCCAGATTTGCCAAGAAACCTTAGCAATGCTGCGAAAATAGCCCTGCTGCTTTATTGTGACCTCTCCTTATGGAGGCCTGTTCTGAACTATGAGTTTACTTGGTGATGGCACTAAGAGAAGACAGTGTCTTGCCAGAGTTAGCATTTCCTCCCAGTTGTGTTCAAGAACATTTCTGATTGATGTATTTCTCTGCAATTTTCCCCCCAAAATTCAATTTCACATTATTCTCCACCTGTGTTTCCAGTCTCTTTTTATTCTCTATTTATAGGTTGTACTACAATGTATCGGCACTGTATAAATACCCAATATCAACATAAGTGTTTGCATCATGGGACTGAGTTAATCAAAAGTAAAAAACCCATTAGTTTGTAAATATGCTGTCTAAAGTAAAACACTACTAAATGCATTTCTTTCTGGAACCTATCAGTCGTCATCAAATTTGAACATCAGACTTTCAACTTAATTAATTACATTTGCTGCTTGTTGAGGTACAACTAGAAAAAAATCATTTCAGAGTACAAACCAGATAGTATAGACTTTTCCATGAAGCTAATTTGAAACCACAGCTCTGAATATAAGGTTGCATATTGCCCATGTGAACAAGCCCGAAATTGCTTTAATCTACTACATAAATAATGGCAGTGCTGACAAAAGTCAAAGAGAACTCACCACTTGTCCATCTCTCCCTGGAACACCAGGCACTCCAATGGAACCCTGGAGGAAAACAGATACCAGTGTTTAGCAAATTAAACAGGTAATGAAATCTTTCATCTCTTAAAACAGTATTTAGAATTAATGGTGAATGCTTGCCTATTGTAGCTGCAATAAATTTTTCAAAAACTAATTTTTATCCAAGCTGAGCTCTCTTTTCAGTTGAGATTTTATATTAATTAGACATATTCTCATGTCGTACACTTTAATGACTCTAGTCTCTTCCAGAAACAAGTTTCAAGGTGATGGTTGCTTTGTAATGTTGTTGATGCTTCACAAGAAATGTAAGAATTAAAATGCAACTCCATTTAATGCTCTCGATAAATATTGAGACTGATCCTATGCAATTAAACACAGCACCTGAACAAAACTATTAATGCTTCTACAGGGACACTTCAAGCTCAATAACTGGTGGCACCAATCTATCCTAAGGCTTTTAAGAGATAATCTACAGTGATTAAGCTTGACAGTGCAAATTACAGATACACTTTTAAACTGCATCAGTACTATTGAAATTAAAATTTTTAAGTCAGTACAGGCCTAACACAAGGAAAAAAGAAGAAAAATAAAATAATGACCTTGACTTATAACATTGGAGGAATCTTGTTTACAAAGCTCTCACACTATAAGTTCCTGTGTGATGGACACTTTTTTTGAAGGACCTTGTGCAACTTGGTACAGAAGTTCAGAGAAAACACGACACATAAGGAAAGCAGGAAAACTGGACATGCTTACACAGCATTCTCCTCTTTTTATATGAAAATGGTGCTGCTCAGCAAGGAAACTGAAAGAAATGGTGCATGGCATTTCCCCCTCTATTCATATTGGTTAGAGGTTTCACTAGAAATGGTTTAGTCAAAGGGCACCAACACCCAAAAGGGAATGAATCGAAAATGGATGTACACGGTTGTCAACGAATAGAGTTGGGAAATCCTGTGAAACAAGAAAAGGAATCAACTCATTAGGATCTCAAAAAACCTCCAACAGCTAGTAACAGAGCTTTAAATAAGTAAGAAATTATACACTGCATCCCAGCATATCTCCATGACCCAGAATGCTCTCCCCTTTCTCCCAAAGCTTCCACTCTGGCATCCTTGTTGTCTCTTTTTGCTGGATGCATGGTTATGACTTTTAGGCACTGCAAAGAGGTCCTAATGAACATTTTCACATCTTTGTATAATTTTTCCAGAAAACCAGAAGGCAAAGCTCAGGAGGGCATTAAACCATCAGCCTCAATAAACTATCCTATTTATAAGAGTTCCTCCTCTCAGTGACAGCAGATGATTTTCCTTATGAAACACAGAATGTTAGAAAATGTAAATAAAGCTGATTTTACCGTGTCAAGTAAAAGTTTATCAGGTATTCAAAAGTTCATCAGGGCATGGGTTTTGCTGATGCTGTACATGCAAAATATCCTACTCACAGAGTATTATGGTATAATTTTATAATGACAATTTAGACATCAGTATGACTTAAAAATGCCACATTCTTGCATTGCCAAACATGAAAGGCAGTCCTCTCCTTCAGTCTGCAAGCTCTGTACAAACTCACAGCTGCCAAAATTCCACCAATTTGTATGCTTTGGGATTACATTTTCACATGTCACAGGTTTTTCTTTGTTTTATTAAAAATGTTCCATTTTAACAGACATAAGCAAACCTTCACTCTAAAGAACATTATCCTTCTCACATCTCAATACTACTTATTCTTTGCCTCTTCTTTTTCTTTATACAAATTAAGCCCATTTTATTAAATATCTTTAATTTATTAAATATCTTTCATAAATATCTTTACAAATATCTTTTGAAATCAAGTAGAAAATTACTCGCCTTGGTGGTATGTGATATTTTGAGGATTGTTTTAATGGTGCAATTCCATAAATCCTAAACTCACTCAATCAAACTGAGGCAGTCAGCTTTAATGAGTGTAAATAATGCTGAAAGCATTCCCAGGAAGTCAGGTCTCCGGTTACCGAAGGAACAGGAAGACACCAACAGACCACCTGAACACCACTAACCAAGCACCATTTATCAGCAACACCTATGTCCTTTGTTTCTGCTGGTCAATTCTTTAGTCATATGGCACTGATCTACTTGAGTAAGGGTGTGCATTCAATCAGAAACTTTATCTCCCCACTTTTCACAACGTTTTAACTTTGGTTTCCTAATCGTACCAGTGCATGAAAATTATAGTGACCTTTTCACCTGAAAGTTAAGCAGACAGATTGAAAACAGTCTGCTCTGCATTGCTTGAACTTCCTATGATGGGGGAAATGAGAAATCTGATGTCTCACATCATATAGCTGCATTTTGCAAAAACAAAATTCAGAACCTAAACTAACTAATTCAATGCAGTGTACAGTAGCTAATCCCATTCACCTCTTCTGCTTTCAATTTGGCACTAGGAGGAATAATCACTTTCACAGTATTGTTGTTTATACTATACCTTTTGTCCTGGAGGCCCCTGAGGTCCCTGCAAAGGGAAAACAATTCAATTAACATCATAACTCCAGCCAATTTAAACTGAAATGACCAATTAGGACTGTCTTATTGTGTAAGCATTCTGATACTGGACTGAAACCAGCTGATGTTTCATACATCAGGAAAAGTAAAACTTTATGCTCAAAATGCACAATGAACCGTTTTTCTTCACTTTTTGGAACTGATCTACTAATTGCAATACTCAGTTTTTCCCCCTTCTAATCTTTTCCATGACATCTGTTTCTTCTAGTACTAACAAACCTGTCAGCATTAAGATGACTGTGGTTTTTCTCTCTCTTATACCAGCTAACAGCCAGTTTGTGTAAACAAAGGAATACATCTGCTTGGTAGCGTAAAAACAAGGTTTATGCAAACAAGAATTCTTAAGCTAGAAAGAAGCATAAATCTCAAAATCTCCTCACCTTCTAGGTATCAGCACACGTGACTGTGTTATACCCAACATGTGCTCTGTGCCATCCTTTGCAAGTTAAGAGAAAAATCATTAAGAATTAACTTCAGAAATTATTAAGAATGCTATTGGGAAGTAAAGAACCACCATTTTGTCCCAATGACCTGAGAAGGCAGGAAGAGACATCTCAATTCAGGAAAGCATAACTGCTTAATGTCATACAGGAGCCAAAGTCTTATTGATATTAAAAGGACTCATTTCTCATCTGCTGTCTCTGAAGTACCCAGGTGGCCACAGTGAAGAGGAGAAGCAGCCAGAAAACAGATCAACTAACCATGCCTTTGACTCTTTAGCAGTCTGATTTGGTAACTGCCAGACCATGTCCACCATAGTTCTCATGTACTTTTTTCCCCATGTTCCTACTACGGGTGCTATATCAAGCAAGGTGAATTCCGAGTTCACGAGTGTGCAAAACAAAACACTAAAGCTGAAGAATCCAAATCCTTCTGATGTGAGAAAGAATATAAGAAGAATTGATTGATATCAGAACTGCAATTGTTCAGAAAAACAAAAGGACTGCTGCTTCAAAATGTGTGGGGGATTTTTTTCTTAAATGAGTGTGAACTTAGACAGAATCTTCAACTGTTGGTAGATGCAGGGCTTGTTGGAACATTGCTCCAATGCAACTTTAACTACTAAGAAGGAAAAGCTCCACTGGTGGTAATTCTGGGTGCTGTATCCACTGATGTGGATGAAAGCCTTGTAGTTTTAAATGTGGATTCATATGTCTAAGGTTTGGCATCGAACTTCACAAAAGCATAGATCAGTGTTGCTTCTTGAAACTTTTGCTTGATCGTCTTAACAGAACTAGCGTACTGTGAGCATCTCCTTTTGACTATAGGGACAGATTTTGATAGTCAAAAGCCACTGTGAGATACAGGGTGACAATTTTACTCCCTTGTCTTCAAAAGAAAGCAGAAGTATCCAGGCACTCAGCACTGGTGAGGATCAGAGCAGCGAGTATAGTGATCATTTGCTTTTACAGATGGAGAAAGATCCCTCCAGCTCACCATGTGCTGGACACCATCTTCCTCTTCTTTTGTGAGAAAGACACAAGTTTGTCCAGCACCTTAAAAACTCCAAGAAATTAATGCTCAAACTAGAGTTTTCCTATATCAACATTCCCAAAACAGGCTCCAAATGTCCACATCCTGGACATCAGTTGTCTGCTGACCTTTTGCATATTAACCAGCTACATTTGGGGATTATTTCAGGTCCCAGGAAAAATCCCTCCATCAGTAGGACAAACTGAATACAGAAGAACTGAAGACTACCCTCATAGCTCATGTCGGCTACTTTCATGTCCAAGGAATGGATATTGCCCCTTTGGTTTCTAACTACTTAAGAAGCTAATAAAACCTTCTGAAGACATTTAGATATATTAAATTGCCACTGGGGAGCCCTCAATACTCTATTACTATATGAAGGTAAAATGATAATTCACTTATTAATACTATCCCGCAAAGTAAACTGTTAAATGTGCTGCTCTGTTGAGAACTTTGTGCCTGGTGCTCGCAGCTGTCAGCCTGTGGGAAGGATATAATTCAAGACATTGCAGATATCTCCAGGAAAAGTTCTTTTCCCAGAATTTCCCCCTTATCCCTGACATCCTTCCAGCTTCTCCAGATGAGTTACTGAATATGAAAATACCTATACAGTAGCATAGTCTTGCTCTTATTGTGCCTTTAAAATAAATCATTCAGAGAAAAGAAGCAGCAGATACTTATCAATAAATATTTTATGCAATTAACAGTTTTCCATTTCTGCTGCTTAAGCCTTTAATCAGACTAGAAGTAGCTCTGGTGTCTCACATCCATTGAGCTACCATGACACTTGATGACATGAACAGTCCTCAGCAGTACAGCTACCTTCAGAAATGGTATGCTCAGAAAACCAATTGCAAACAAAAGCTTACCTAAAGTGATATATTTCCTAGTTTACACAGAGTAACACGTGCTTCTTATCTTTAGAACGTCCAGACTGCAAAACATAGCTGAATAGAAAAATTTTTTTCTTCAAAGCACTGCTCCCTAGCATTGGGAAAGAAGCTCAAAGCCACTGGAAAATTAACAGCTCATCCACTGACAGCTCCCATCCCTCCCCCACATAAGCCTGCCAGCAGCCACTTAACAGAAAACCTGAAATTAAATTACTAACAGAAAACTACTTAAAAAAACCCCCAACATACAAAACACTCCAGAATTGTGCCTATTTTCTATGAGTTACCTACAATCTCTAAGCAAGGCACATAATCACACTGGAGAGGCAGAAATAAGGAAGCAAATAAAATCTGGGAGAAAGAGAGGAATATGAAAGGATAAAATAATAAAAAAACCCCAAACCTAAACCCAAAACTTCAATTCATTTCCAGAGGTATAAATGATAGCTTTCAGAAGAATCTATATAGGAAATTCAATATGAACATGTGGACTTTTCCCCATGATTATTCTACAGAATTGGGGAGTATGCTGTGTTGCCCACTTGATGAACAGATAAGACCAGCTATCAAAATCTCTGCGTAGATCTTGAGACAGGAGCAGAAGGCAAGAAATACATGAAAGTTCTAAACAATTCCTTAGACTGCTTTGCTTTTTGTTTGTTTTTCATGAACCGTTCTGCGTTCCATAACAGTTGCAATAATATGCTAGCCCTGCTGTTTGCTCCAGTACAACCAAAGCAATGCTTTGCAAATGCAGATTCAGCTAAACTTCACTTTGGATAATTATCTGCCACTGGGTCCAGGTAGCCAGTGCAGAGAGCTGCTACCACTGCTCCCGACCTCATTTCCCTCAAGCCCAAAGCCTCAGCTCTGCAGTGACCACACATATAAAAAACATGCAGTAATCTTCACTAGTTGGAGGCTTCATCTACTGCCACAGGTAACATATTGTCACTCGGTTTCTGTCACTATCACCTGGGTATTGAAGGAAGCAAAACAAAAAGAAGCCTTTAAAACAAGAGCTATAGAATTCTTTCAACTCCTAACTACCTATATATATTTTATATATATATATATATATAATTAATAAAAAACCCCTCCATAATACTCTATGCAGATTATGTTGATAGTAAATATTTGTCTTTTGCCTGTAATACTGGAAGCTTCCAGAGTTTCCATTTCGGGATGCTTAGAATCAACTCCTAAACTACTGGCAATTGATGTTAAAAAGCTCATTTTATAAACAGCATCTAGGCTTAAAAAATTCCAAAGGAAGTTCAAGAAAACTGTTCAGATGAAGTGACTGCTTAGTGTTTTTAAAAGTTATGCTGCTTTTCTTTAAACTGACACACATTCACCAAGAAACTTCAACTGGGAGAGCTGAAAATTCTGGTTACAAGTGCTTTCCAGAATAAGATGATAACTAAATATAAGGAATATAAAAAATAGTTCTCACTCAGATATCATGAACACTTCAAAAGATTGAACCCTTTACCATCATGTGCAATTGAGTAAAGTAGCACAACAGCTATGACAAATTATTGCAGGGCTTCACTAAATTACGTTCTCATTCAAATAGCTCCACAGTAGGAAGATGGAAAAAGAAGATGTGTTGCTCCAAAGAAATTTAACTGCTATCTGTGTTTCTCTGGAGACAGAGAATTATTTGATAATACTTAAACACTTGGAAAACTGGGTAATCGAGGATAAAAAAATGTGTATAAAAGTCTTCTATGCAATTGGGTTTTTAAAAGGTAAAAATATTTCCACTATGAATGCCATTCTTCAATCACTATTTTTGGAAATCAACAGACCTCCAGAGACTATATCTGGTCAAACCTTTGTATCATAGAAATTACTGAATGAAGTTGGGTACTCCAGTTGGGTCTTGACAAATAACTATGTGGAATAAATTAAAAAGCCCAAACAAACTGAAAAGACTGACCTAAATGTAGTTAGAACAAAGTTTTGAGTCCAGAATTCTTCCTACACCTCCTTTCTAATGTTACATTTTCATTTTATGCTTAATCTGTTCCTTGTGTTTCAGCAAGCTGCAAACCAAGAAAATTCTACCCTGTAAAGGTAAAAGTTGTGGTTTCAAAGAGCAGTAATTCAGAGTGTGCTACATAAGCAATCCTCTCAAGGTATTTTTGTATTCAATTTCTAGGGACTCAATTGCTTAACATTGGAAGAAATGTATGAAATCAAAAGTTAGGGCATTTTCAATTTGCAGGTCTGGGACTTTTACAAGGTGTCAGAGTTTATGGACAGTGAGCACAAACACCAAATGAAAATGCCTAACACAAATAAAATGAAAAAGCGAATATTTTTGTATACTGAATAAGCTATACAGCAAAATAGGTCACAATGGTGCAATACACTGTTGTACAAAAACTCTTATTCCAAAGCCTTGCAAACAAAGAAAAACCCTCAACCAAAAACCAAGAAAACAAACATATGAAATTTTTTAACTTCCATACTTTCTACATAAAGTAAAAGCTCTTTGTAACTAGAAGGTCTGTAGGAAGTATTATGTCTATATTTCTATGAAACAAAAGCAGTTCCAAGACTGTTCCTGAGAACA